ACAACAAACAATATTTTTCAAAGTCATACATAATCCCCCCCTTCACTATTTTAATTCCATTATTTAAAAGTCACTCATCTTAGAACATTGCTGTTTTATCCTGATATTTGTCTAAGACTGTTCCATTACTGTTCCCAATGGCATGGAGGTGGAGGTGAGAAAAAGGGTAAATAGAAGCACAATAACTTTCTTAGATATGGATGGCTGCCATATTGTTGGCCATAGCTATGAAGGAGTGGTGCAGCATCGGTAGTTATCCACTCTTTGCTTAGCCCACATTCAGACAAATATCCTGTACTCTACCTTTTGGATGACTCCCAAGGTGGCAGAGCTATGTATCCTATCCTGAGGTGAATCATCTGCTTTTCCCTATCACCTGAGATAGCACCTTGAGGTGCAGCCACCCACCACTTCTCTTACAAGGGGACCTGGATGGTAGCATGCATAATTCTTGGCTTCCCCAACATGGGAGCAGCTCAATTCTATTTAGTCATTTGTTTAAAATATTTGCACACTATCTCCTACTTAGAAAAAGTGGTTTGCAATAAGTATTTAATATTTAAGACATGAAATTAAAACAAAACCATGAATTTAACATGGTGTAATATAAAATAAGCAAGAGAATGGTAAAACAATAACAGCGTAAATGAAGGAATAAAAAGGTAAAAATATAACAGCTGCATAATTATTATAAGGCCTGGGAGAATAAAGATGTCTCTGCCTGGAAGTGAAAAGCTAATCACGATGGTGTCAAGTGTGCCTTACTATGAAGGGCAACCAAAATTGGAGGCTAAACTGATAGCCTCTCTTCACACCCAGAGCTGACCCTCTGAAGATGAGCTTTATTCATAGGAACATAGGGAAGATGTATTCCGATGCCAACTTGAATTTATATTGATATGATATTAAAAATATTTTATGGGAGGAACAACCCTCTGGATTGCAGCAAAGATATCGTGGTGTGGTTTTAAAAATTCCTTACTTTCCACATTTGGAATATATGCATTGAAGTACTATAGCAATCAGATGCAACTGTTACAATATTCACAAGGCTTTGCCAGGACATTTAGAAGACAATATCATGGGCAACTAACTGGACAGGATCAATATTCATGCAAATGCTGAAGAATGGGGACCAAACTGACTGTGGAAGTTATTGCACAATTGCCCCAATTCCACATACAAGCAAGATTTCACCCTAGATCATTCAGACTAAAATCATACCTGGAGCAAGGACTGCCTAAAGTGCAAGCAGGGTTAAGGAAACGGTGAGGAACAAGCAATGGGCCCTTGAAAAGACAGAAGAATACCAAAAGGATATTTACATGGGTTTAATTGACACAACACGCCCTTTGACTGCATAACTCATGAAAATTCTTGGCCACATTAAGAAGCATGGGTATATCAGAACACCTGATCATTCTAACTCACAGTCATTAAGTTGCTCAAGAAGCAACAGTCTCAACAGAACAAGGAGAAAAAGAATAGTTAAAATTGGTAAAGGCATACAACAAAGCTGCATAATATCCCCATATCTGTTTAACCTACATGCAGAACAAATCATCACAGAAGCAGGACCGTGTGAAGAAAACCTAGATTATGATTTTCCTTTTTCGACATATCATGCAAAGAGAAAGATATAATGCTTGGCAAGGCTGAAGGAAAATGCAAAAGAACTGGCAGTGTGATGAATTGATACCGTAGCCACAGGTGCTAGCTATTCTAGCAACAATTAGCTCAGGACAACGGTCCACAGAGTTTCCCTGAATTGATACCAACTTGACAGCAACTAACAACAACATTGGAACATGTTCGGGACTAAACTCTGTTGGGTTAGAGATTCTAACTCTACAGTAATTTTTAAGCAAACAATTAAGGTGAATATTAGTTGTTTGCAAAAACCCTGGAATAAGATTGTCCTATATTAACAAATCAATGACTAAGGGTTGTAAAGAAAATGAAACATGTAATGATTCTTAAGTAATGATGAGATAAATTCAAGAATACATGCCTTTTCAGGTTTACAGAATACCTCAAAGAATGTTTAAAAAAGATTGGGGCAATTTATTCACAAGATATGGGCTTGTTTGACTATTGCTCTGATTTGGTTTAAGTTTGTTAATATGGTATTAACAAAGATCATACTTTAGAACTACTATATTCTAAAAATATGAAATTTATCACTATATGAATTATGGATTTATTGAGCATGAGGCAGCAAAAAATATTACTCTTCAGTAATGGAAAGACAGTGCAATTTCAGGTTTATCATCTTGGATCATCAATATATGTTTGATTTTTCTTTATGAACAAGCTCTTGATCGATGTAATGGACAGACTGTTTCATATTAATTTATGTGGTTAAGATTTAATGATGTGTTTAAACATTAGATTTCCTGCATGTAACAAAATGTGCTTTTGTTCTTTCCTTTTTTATCTTTGTAGTTTTTTTCTTTTCTTCTCACTTTCTGTATATCAAGCAATAAAAATACAGCTTCAATATTATATTGCCATTTGGCTTCAATCAAAGATATTAGAAATATATAACAATAAATCAGAGAATGACGTCTTATTCAGTTTGTTTGAAAGGAATTCTGCCCCATGTCCAGCAACCAGTGTTAATTTGTAATGTTGTACGTAGTACTTGTAGCACTTTTAGCATGAAAATCTGTTAAAAGAAAATCCAGGCATGACGCATTTCATGTTACTAGTGATTTTATAAAGAAAAATAAAAGTGTTCTCTGAAACTGAATACAGGAAGTGAAAAAAAATATTATTGAACTGGAAAATATATGCTACTTTCCAAAATATTTCTCAATTACATATTGAGAAATGATGGTGCATTATAATTGTTAACACTAACATTATAAGACTAGGTGTCATGTTATGTAATAAAGTTTGCTACAGATATGTCTTGATTTTCTAAGTGCTTCCTGATTGCTCATCATGACAGCAATATTACATTATCGTGTATACTTTACTACTTCCCCTATTCAATTTTAGAAAACCGTTTTATTCATCACAGAAAACCATACGTTTGCTTTGGAGTCTACATTGAAGACTCCAATCAGTCCCATTCTTTGATGAATGTTCTTGACTTTTTTTATCACTGTCAATATTTTTAGACATGCCTTTAAAAATAATCCTTAAATTATGTAATCTACACATATCTCAGTGTACATTGTCTAGTATATGACACATCAATATATTTAGCAATAGATTTTAACTGTAAAAAATTGTTCAAACATCAGAACAGGGCGTTTTAAATTTTGGTAATTTTACCAACATTTATCCCATTGGAGCATGGGATAAACTACAGGAAATATTGTGTCTATAAGAATAAAAATAAACCTATCGGGGCTCAGAGCATTATCTTTGGTTGTAATCTAAAAAGATTGATAGGATCTACGCTTCATTTTCAAATTATATGCTGGTTTCTCCTCCTGAATTATCACGATGCTAATTTTTAAAACAGGAAAGCTGATGCAGGAAACAAACAAATATTTCAGTGTAAGTCTACATGTTTCTATCCACATACAAAATGAAAAAAATACCTTATATACCCAATGCCCAATATATTACTTCTACAGTGTAGTACCTATTCAGAAGCAAGCCACAGTGAGTAAAACATGACTACTCCCAGGCATATAAGCCAAGGACTTCATCCATGTAATCAATTGTTACGATTATGATTATTTATAAAATATAAAATTATGGATTGTATCCACAGTAGCTCCTGAAATTCTTGCTGGAGGAGGAATGGGGAAGGGAAATTATTCTCCTACAATTCATCAGATTCTTCACCCCAGATGACTGAAAGAACAATGTGGGTTGGTGCTAGGAAAGACAAGGCAAGGAACTGGTTCATTATTCCTTCTATACACTATTTTTTTTCAACCAAAATATTATTTTGTTGCATAAGGAATTATATGCCTAATTGGATATTTATCGGTTCAAACATTGTTATATTCTTTCCAATCTTAGTAAGAGTCCCCAAGATTAACAATAATATCCTTAAAATTTTTAAAATGAAAATAATGGCCAGAACTATTAAAGATAATTGGAAAGTCTTAAATATACTAACAGTGCTGAAGATAAATGGGCAAAATGCACAGAGAATTTTGGAGAAAGATCATAAAAGTTTATTGTTGCTGTTGCTACCTGAATCCACATAAAGGTACTCGGTAGTCATACTGAATTATTACAGATTCAGATTGGAAAGTATTAATGTGAACATATATAATATATAAATAAGTTCACATCTTAAATATTTTAAACATGTCTGTAAGAGGAATGAAAATTAAACTCAAAGCAGCCCTTGATCATTTTTCTTAAAGATATGAAATAATTTATTTTTTCTTTGATCTTCACAAATACTACATATTATCTAGCTACACAACCAATGCCATTACATACCACAGGGAATTCCTCACCAACACTTTACATTGACAAAGACCACTGCAATTTTAAAATTAAATGAACTGTACAATGTGCTGTTAGACAAAATGTTATTAAATTTCATGAAAAGTTGTGGCATATCATTCGTGAACATAGAATGTTTAAAAAATTAAATTGCCAATAAGCAAAAATAAGATATAAAGTGTTTCATTTTGGCATCATTGTTTTAATAAAGTATTATAAAAGAAAATTAAGAGGAAAAGAGTCAGTTCTTAACATCCACTACTTAAAATTGCATATGAAAGTAATAGTTCCTTCCTTTCAATTTTTTTCTTTTGATTTTTGTTTTTAAATAGAAATGAATATTACATAAATATTGCAGAGTAAAGAAAGGTTGTAAAATTACTGTTAAAGAAAATACTATTGTATGAAAAGCAAATGTAAAATTACCAAACAATTTGCTTACAAAAAAGGTCAAAATATAAGCAGTCACAAAATATATAAAAATGCCACCTTGAACGAGGCAATATACTCTACCGAAAGTGGTAGCACGCTTTTCCCATAATATCATAATCATTGAACATAGATAAATACTACCATATTCATACAGTAGTAACAGATAAAAAAGCATTGTGCACACTTGTGTCATCTGGAGATTTAGCACCATGTGTCATAAGTTCCTGGATAGTCATCCAGTTGTCCAAGATCTTCTTGTTCCTCTTTTTCATCATCTTTTTGTGACTGAGTTCAATTATGTTAATTTCCTTTTTGGCCTCGCTGCCACTTTGAGGGTTCTCTTTGAGAGACTCCAACCGGCTACGCATCATGAATTCCCGACGTCTTCTCTGCTCCTTGGCTCTCACCAGATGTTGCTTCCGCTCCTCTTTGCTCCAGTAACGACCCATCTTCATTTCGCTCATTGTATCATCATCTGTTGTCATTCCGCTGCGCTCCTCTTTAATCTTTAAGGCACGTTCCTTCAGGATTCTGTCTCTTACTGGTCTCTTTGTGATATACCTTGTCCCATCACTCCTTATTTTCACTTTCCATTCCATTTTGGGCTCTGTACACTTTTGGGACTCTTTGCACATGTTCACTAGGCTAAGCTGACTTTGGGCATATTCCACTGCAGATCTCTGTTGAATCAGCTGCATATAGCTTTGATAACGCTTAGCATGGGCAGGTATATTTCCATACCTGTATGAAGAGCTATGATATGGGGACAGGTAAGGAATGTGCTCAGGGCTCTGTTTTTCCTGCTCGGTTGGTTTGCTGCTTTCTGAAACTATTTCCTTTTCCTCAACTGAAGTGTTTTGTTCAGAAACTTTGGTTTTGTTTGGAGCTGCCTCCCGGCGACTGTGCCTTGACGACAACTGGTTTGCCACAATGGTACTCCTGAGATTTTTTCTGTTGGTAATGCTAACCATTCGTTGAAGAGAACTGTCAGGAGAGCGCTCTAAATTCAATGGAGTGCTTCTACAGCTTTCTGCTGTATTGTAAGCACTGGAACTGTCTTTGTCAGATTTCTCTGGATGTTCTATTATCTCACCCAGTTTTTCTCCTTGAAGATCTATAGCGGTGTTATAGTTCCTGAGTGTGCTATCATGCAATGTCCAGATATCCTCATACTGCTCTCTTACTTTTGGAAGCTGATGGGCCTGCATAATGTTCTGACACTCACGCTCAATGCTCCTCAATTCCTCATTGAGCAGCTGTAGTTCATGCTCAACCGCATCTTTCTGCCTTCGGTTACACTCTATGGTACTACTTGAATAATATAAATCATATTCTCCATGAGTTCGGATCTTACACTTGAGCTCCAACAGCTGGTGAAACCTTTCACAGTCCTCTTCCGGGTTACCAACAAAATCCGTTTCAATATATTCCTCAGACGTTAGGGTTTGGTTGCATTGGAGCTCAGGGCCTTCCAAAGTGTCTGGAGTCTCTCCGAGTTCCTGCTGGGTCTGTAGGGCTTCATTCTTCTGCTTCTCAGGGGGATTTTCTTGCTCTGAGCTCTCATCATTGCGCTGGCTCTCATCTGTGGGGCCCACTCCACTATCCTTTTCATTATTATTGGATGATGAGGTAGCAGTGTCTGTGGTGCCATCTTCTTCTTCATGTTTCTTCGGCTGTAAGATCAATGGACTCATTGTTACTACAGATCACAGCTTACAATGTTATCTCTTAACAGCTATGAGAGAAAACTCTGTGCTTTTGCAAGTCAACATGGCAATGCACAATGTGGAAATACTATTAAACATGGATCCAAGGGAACTGGATCCTTTCTTACTTATGGCTTCTTTTATTTCTTTACAGTACAAGACCAACAATCTAAAAAAATACAACAAGCCATGAATACATGTATTATTATTACCATCATCAATTATTATTCTATTGATTTATATAGCTACTTATATCAGTACATGACTCTGGGTGGCTCACAACATTAAAACAAATACACATGTGTACAAATACAAATTAAACAAGAAATAAAGCACGTAGCAGCCAGAGAATCATAAAAAAGCCATCAATGCAGCCAGGAAATGCGCCCCGTCACACACACCCAGGGCCCCAGGCTCAAGCATAGAGCCAGGTCTTCAAGGCACCATGGAAGACGAGCAGCACTGGGGCCAACCTCAGCTCTGGAGGGTTGATGCTCCAGAGGGCAGGTGTCATGGCAGAAAAGGCTCTCCTACCAAATAACTATTAGTTAACATTACACAGAAAGATTAAAATACAAAAAATTATTAAAAATAGAAAAAAGAAAAAGAACTTTTGGGTTTATAACTTCCCCCTTTTTGTACATCTGCTAATTTATCATATTGTAGACATTTAACCCTCTTTAAAAGCCAGACTGTAAGCAATTGTATTTGCCATGCTGTGTGATGTATTGTATGTATGGGAACCATTCTTGCTTAAATTTGGTTATACCTCTGCTGTGTATATATTCTGTTAGATTCATACTGGTTTGTTGTAGGGCATATCTAACGGAAAATTTAAAAACCAAACTTGGGAGTATTTGGCATTTTGTTTTTTTCTTTTGAAGAAGCAGTTGTAGAAAATGGTATGCATTATAGCAGTGGACAAGTATATGTCTTTGACTGGCTGCTCTCTAAAGGAATGTAAAAATGTACATTGAGAATACACATCTCACTGAAAACTAAAAGAATGGAGACACTTAGATGAGCAGCTGGATGCAAGTTCGTGTTCTGAATTTGCCACTTTTGATATTGCTTGTGCAGGAATTTGCATAAGCATTTGTAAATATGCAAAAAAATTAAGATGGTTTTCATCCGAGCAAAAGATCATCGTATAGAAATTGAACCTTGTGTATTGCTGTAAGGGTTACTACTGGAGTTCAAATTATACTAGGAATTGAAAATTATTTGGAATAAGCACTTCTGACTTCACATGAGCTCAGCACTTTTCTGTTAATCATTAAACCAGCCCCTCTTTTTTCAGGCTTTTAGTTCAGCTGAAAAAGGTGTGATGGGACTCCTAAAGCAGCCATACTTTTTTTTTGGCAGACTCACAAGGAAATCAGAAAAACACACATACACAAAAGCTGCTTTAATGAACAGCAGAGAGGTGTTGCATTTATTCAAGGTCTGAAGTACTCAACCTAGTTTTTTAAGTTGCAGAGCCCTATTAGAAATGCCATCAACAATAAAGTGCAATGGTAGTAGGAACCCTAAAGTGCAGTTTTGCATATTATAACAAATATTTGTGTTTGCAAGGGTAGAGTAACAGTAGAAACTCAGACAGAACTTACCTTTCGTGAAAAGAAGCTTTAATTTAAATGCTAAATGTAATAGCAGTACAGTGTGGACATTACCTTTCTAAAACTGAACTGAGTGTCATAGGTTGAGAAGCTAACAGCATAGCTTGTCTGGTAGATTTGTAGAGGACAATTTGTCACTGATGGTTGTTGGTCCAGCTAATGTTATTCATTGTTTTTGACTTCTGATCACCTAATAACACTGAAGAAAATGAACACTCCCTGTTTTGAAAACACGTGCAAAGGGATTTTACAATATAGGTGGATCATTGAATGTTGCCTTGGAAAATGTATAGTTAAATTCTAGTCTTTAAGATAATAAAATCAAAATGGCTATCTATTCTGGGCACTATGTCAAGCACTTTGGTAGATCGAGTGCACCCATCATTAATTGGATTTATTTATTGCACTTCTAATGCAAAGACCATTAGCTACCGGAGCACTGACGCGATTCTTTTTCTTTTTCAATGATATTGATGTTGAAGGCGTTTTGTTCTATTTTCCTTACACAATTATTATCCGAAGTGCATGTAGCCTTATTTACAATAAATCTAAGTGTGCACAGGACCAGGCAAATGTGGTTTTTCCTTTAAAAGCTATAATTATATAATTAAGCATAATGGCTAGTAATAATAAAATGTGATGAGAAAAAAATGAAGCATACTGGTAACAGGGAACAAAATTCTATGAATCTGCTTTATTAGTAATTGCTATTTTCTCTATTGAGACAGACACTGATAGACATGCAGGGAACTGGAAGGTAGAATTAGGGACGTACAACAAAGCCTTATTATTACCTTCAAGAGCAGAAGCCCACCAGTTGGTCTTTTATGCACAGTTGTTAGAAGAAATTGATGCCAATAGGTCACATCAGTTAGAATAAATATAATTAAAGTGTATTGGAGTATAAACTAAATTAAAAAATGAAATAAAAGAAGTTAACAGAAGTGTCTACCTGACGTTTCTGAGCCTCTGCATTGAGTTAGCAGTGAATCTACTGACAGCTTTATGGGTATCTGTCAGTCTTTTAAGCTAATACTCTAGCCTAATTATCCATTTTTTCTGATATGTAAAGGCATTTCTCATGTACTCCCATTTCAGCAAGCAAGTCTGGGTCTTAAAGTTACTAACTTGAAAATGAAAATGTAAGTTTGTCTTTAACTCACAGCCTCTCTCCTAGGCAGTGCTACATTGTGGGGTAGACACTTTGCATATGCTCAGTGAAACTATTTTCTGTAAGTTTAGCGTTAAATAATGTGGGTGCTGCATAGCTCATGAAGTTACCATTGTCATGTAGTTTAAACTAGGTTCTTTCTTCATTTCCAAAGTATGCCTTTCATATATACCATTCAGTGGAACAATCCATAAGAATCTGATGCATAAATTCTAACAAAACTCTAATCATAGGACAGCTTGACCATGAAATTGATACACTGGAGGCAGGCAGTGCATAGATTAAAGCAGGTATGTTCCATATTGCACAAGTCCACACTTCATATAATGCAGTACAGACTAAATGAATTTTTTCTTGGTTGTTACAGCCATTACTGGAATTCATCATAATCTAGACTCTATGGTTATCCTTTACATGCTGTGAAAGATAGAGCTTTTCTGAATTCTCTCAGAAACACAAACTATATAGCCGACATTAGAGATTGGCTTAAAGATTTTTTTTTTAAAATAAGGTATTGTAAGTAAATTACACTAGAATAATGGGAATAAAGTGTGCAATGGAAACAGACAGAAAAGCAGAATTTAAAATTAATTGAACCTAATTCATTTTAAATCTAGCTAAAACTAACTAGCATGCATTTACATGAGTATGGCAGAATAACATTGTATGGTAAGAATCATTTCTCAGTGTGTGTAATGGTATGTGAGAATGAATTGGAAGACAAGAGCTGCAGCCTAGACAAATGTTGTACAAAAGGTATCTCAGCCCACATAAGGAAAAGGGGTATGGGAAGCCATCTCAATCTCAGGAGGGACCCTCCCTGGTTTTCTGGAAAGTAAAGATAACAGAGGGGAGAAGTGCTTTCAGACTTGCAAGATTATGTTACTGTAACCTTACGAAAAAGGTAGGCTTAGTCCTCATGGATTGTGCTTCTTGTCTGGACTACTTCAAAGGGCTGACTGTGGAACCAGTTGTTTACTTTCTCTCTTCAAACTGAACTAATTTCATGAAGAACATGTCACATTAATTGTTAATTATGAGCCAAAATTATAATTTCATATAAATTAATTAATTAACCAACCCACCAACCCATATTATAAGCCTTAGTTGGAGGCACGCAGGATTACGGCTCATGAGAAATGATCTAGACAATATGTTTGCTGTGAGTATCTTGATAAAATGTACAGATTTCGGGGAAACTGCTTTATTTCATGTACCTACTTATGTTGGAATGCTTCCAGATAGGCAGTGTCCCAGTGTTATGAATCAGGAGGCATTGTACACTAATTCCATTTCTTTTAATAGATTATTGGCAATAAGTAAAAAAATATGGACAGAATGTGGAAAAAAAAATGAACAATTCATACAAACTGTGCCTCTGATTCCAACAGTCATTTTTATGAGTTTCCATGACACAGGTGTAAACCCTTTTTCTGGCTAGAGAAACTGCACTTGATTGTTTGAGTGGAAAGCTGGGGGCCAAATTCCAAGAAGTAGTTGGACCAGGGCAAAAACAAAGTTTAATTTCATTTAATCAGAACTTCATTTAATTAAAATTAAAAACAATTCATATCTCTTCAGTCATGCATTTACTTTGTGTTTCTTTTAAAAATATATATTATGTTGACAGTCATATTAAACATTGCATTTAATTATAACTTTCTGTACTGTACTAGGCTGTAGTGAAGACTTTGGAGCAGTGTATCTCAACCTTGCCAGCTTTCAGATGTGTGGACTCCAACTCCCAGAATTCCCCAGCCAGCTGCTGGCTGGGGAATTCTGGAAGTTGAAGTCCATACATCTGAAAGCTACCAAGTTTGAGAAACACTGCTTTGGAGGGTGACTTGGGTCCCTGGGTGCTCAGGTTGTGATCTCTTCCTTTCTTTAGCACCATAGATACATTAGAATCTTATGCTCTATTTTATAGCCCAAAAGGCTCTTACAATGAAATCTCATTTAGATCTATAAAGTGGCAAATGAAACAGCCCTATATGTAGGTGGAGTCCGAATTAATTTTTCACTTCCCTTTCCAACTTTTACCTTGGTCTTCCATGGTGTCATCCTTTCGCTTCTGCCTATCAAGTAGCAGGTATCACTAAGTTTTTCCCAAGTCTTAGGGATGTGAACAAGTAGCTGGAATTTATACAGCTTATGGTGACAAGATGTTCTTTGCCAAGCAGCCACTATTACTTTTTTCTTCCTTCTGCAGGATGGACGTAGGTCTGACCAGCTGAAACCTGCTTAGATTGTGAAGGACATTTTGCCTTGATGCACATACATTCATATGTGGAAAGAAAGCTGGTTTTTAAACTATCATTGTTTCAAAAAAGCACACAAACCTATCAGGAAAGATGCTGTTTAAGATCACAAGACATGGAATGTGCAGTTACTATATAAAAGAAATAAAAATATCTAATAACAGAGAAAAGATGGGTTATGTTTTATCCATTCCCTTCTTCTGAGGGAAGAAGGGAATGGATAAAACATAACCCATCTTTTATGCAGTAATTGTGTATTCTGTCTCCTGAGATTAATTTCCTACCATCTTAATCTAATGGTATTATATTTCATTGTTGCAAGCCACCTTGAATGCTCATATAAGCCAAAACATATACATTTAATAAATAATAATAATAATAATAATGGCTGATCTTAAAATTCTAAGCAAGTATTAATTGGACCAGATTAATACTTGCAAAGGAGACAGGGAAGTTAAAAAGCATCTCAGAAGGTAGCAGTGGCAAACCACATTTGTACCTGTTACCATGAAAACTACATGGAGGTGTTCATGAAATTTCTTTAACGTGACTTGAAGAAAAACATTACCTTTATTCTGGAATATTAGTTCAGAAGAAAAGAAAAACATAATCAAAATTAACTTGTTGAGAAATCAGAAAGAATTAGGAATACCAACATGCGTGGCTTCTAATCTTCTCCCTCTAATATTTCTACTGCCTCTTATTGTTACTGGTTGAGATACTTCAGTGCAATGTTCTCATTTGAATTTGTAATTTCATTCTTTGTTTATTAAAAGCATATATTTTGACATCTTACATCAAACCTACCTGCTCCACTTCATTGCCTGTGTATTGCACTGCTTCATCATGCTGTTCTTCCAACATTTCCAAGTTTAACTCCTCTAAGAATTCATTCCTTTCATCATCCAGCCACCCTTCTTCCAACTGTAAAAAATACAGTAGTGCATTATTTCAGTAGTAAATCCAAATGGCAGAAGTGTCTAATTCTTATTATAATAATAACTTTCTTTGGTCTTGGAGTTTGCCTCTCCAAAAGGCAAACTAAATTGATCACCCAAAAATGGCTGGAGACTTTTTTCCTTGCTGAATTGATAGCAATGATTCTCTCTCACAATAAGGGGGAGAGCATATACAAAACATTTCCTTTCAAAATCTACACAGGAAATACCTGCAAAATCCTTAAACTGTTACATTCTTTATTTCTAGGAATAGCAGTTTTTTTTTTAAAGAATTAAAGGATATTAAAATATGGCTATGAGACAACTGTATTCTTCTTGATTAACCACCACCAACTCAAGGCTGTGACTCACTGCCTGAACCTCAACTGAATCCTCTTTGTGTGTTTCAATCACATTTGTCTTATTGATTTCTCAGGTAAACTTCCAGTAACAGGATCTACAACAACACAAGAATAATTGACTGACAAGGTGCCTTTAAGGCATGTTTTGTTTTTCAGCTCTTCCTTGGAGATGCTTGAGTAAAAAGTAGGAAAGTAATATGTTTTGAAAACCAACTTGCATAACCAGAATAAGGCTTATTTTGGGCTACCCAAAGAACGTTCTCCATATATAAATGTCATGTTCATATGAATATACATTTTTCTAGAGTAAGTGGGGTAAAATAATGCTCAATAATGCTTGTCATAACCATGGGATATAGAAGTATCACTGTCAACATTCTTTTTATCAATAGTCTGGAAAGACAGATATTTTAAGATGAAGATATTTTAAGGGAAACATTTATATTCTATTGTAAATATTACTTTTCAGCAGGTGAATGTACAAATTCTGCATGTTTCTCATGGTATTATTATGGCCCTTATATGTTCCTGCAAGCTTAATGCTGCAGATTTATACACAAGGACAAGTCATGTTGCTTGGCTTAATCATATAAGTGAAATACCAACAGGATTTACTTTAACTGAATGTCCCAAGGCACCAGAGGTCTGAGTGCTATGACAATATGTTGGGTTCCCTTCCTCCAGCAATACATCTGGTAAGTTGAGGAACAGAAAGCATTTTGGAATATTACTGAAATACACCAGTTCTTCAAAATTAGTGACAACCAGATGAAGAATGGGAACCTATGAAGCCTCTGAAGACGTTATGAACTGTTAAGCATGCATTATGACCCCTTTTGGATTAATTTTATTTTTATCAGAATTTTCACATATTTTGTTATTTCATCATGTGCTCCTGTGTATTTTACTAGTTTTATAATTATTTTTTTACTCCTTTTATGCACTATAGATAAAATTGCTTGTTCCAAAAAAGAATAGCACCGTGGATATATATGTGTGATGCATTTTCTAATACACACTACGTTCTTCCAGATGCTGCTTCTCGTCACAATGGTATTACTGAACTAAGAAATCATAATCAGATATACTTCAAAGAACTAATAGTTCTGAGATACCAGTGCTGTTTGGATCAGCCATAAATGTCATGACCTTACAGATCCTGATTATAGAAACAAGTATAGTTTTTGGCACAATTTTCATGTTACTACAGCTCCAATTCAGAGCCTGATTAGCCACAATGCATAATGGGTTGAATTTTGACAGGAGTCATACTGTAGTCTCACTGAAGTCAACATGATAGATTAGGCAAGGTTAACTTAACTCTTACTTTCATGTGACTAAGGCAGAACTAGGGTGGATCTAATCCATGCCTGAATGCGCCATATTTTTCTTAACAATTTCCTCAGTTTATCAAAAAATTCAAGAGTCAGTAGTGTCTAGACAACAGTTGCAAATTGGAATCAAATATTTCCTGTTAACTTTTGACCACTTCAACTGTGTAAGAGGGGCCAGAACAGACTAATGGTAGCCTCAGGTAGCCATTGTTTGTTGTACAACTGTATCCAGAAAGAGAGATTCATCACTGATATAAACCTCCTTAAGTCCCTATAGGCAGAATGTTTCAGCAAGCCATTTATAGTTCCAGAAAGTCATCTAAGCCTACAAGTCCCACATCCAAACTATATAAACCTGAAGTGAATTGCTTTCTTCTACCCTAACATACAGCTTATTCTTTTGGGGCCATTTAGAAGGTGTAAGACTATAAAGGAAATATATGCTTCAGACTATGATTCTGTATTACTGCTATAGTCAAGGAAGGATTTCAGGTGACACTGAATTACATTTACTCAGTGTAATTTATAGGGACTCTGCAGAGTTACCAGCTCTGAAAAATATCAGATCAATAACATGAGAAGCAAATGGCAATATAAACAGCTTTGCCTAAACCAGTAATAGATGGATACAGTAGTGTCAATGGAATGCCTTTTTTTTTTTAGCATTACTGAAGGATATAAAAAGAAATACAAAAGGAAGCACAGCTAGTATTTTTCTTCCACATTTTAAAATTTTTATTAGTCTGCTCTGCACTTCTGTTTTCACAAATATGAACCATTTTTATATGGAATCATTTTACTGGACAGATACAAAAACAAAGCAAAGCAAAAGAAAACCTACAACCTGCCATAGATCTTCAGCATATATGTATCCAGACTAAATCTTGAAATCCAGATATAATGGTTTGCTACATGCTATAGACATGTGTTTGCGTCTGCAAATACACAACCCAAATCTGTACCATTTTATGTCCATGAAGAAATTTCTTCCTATACATAAGCAATTTCATCATGTTTCTTTGTTTTTGTTTGAGTGTATTATTAGTATAAGATAATCAACGACATATGTGCAGATATATAGGGTTTTAAAGACTACTCAGCATGTAGAATAACAACTGCATTCTCATTAACTTTGTTTATACCACTAGACACAAATGGCAGAAGACATTGTATTATCATTTTCATTGTTTTGACCCAATCTGCTATATTGTTATTTTTATGCTGTCCATCCTTTATGTATGACAGTGAATATATGTTCACTGATGAAGATCATCCTTTCCCAATGCATCCATTTATTCTAACCTGCATCTCTGGTCTTGCTACAAGCAATACAATTTTCTTGCATTCATCATGGGAAAGCATTGCCACTGCCTCTTCCCGATTCTGGACATCTTGGCCATTTATCTGGAAAACAAATGGAAGTGGCACATTAGTTTCCATTTCCACAACACAACACATAATATAGAGCAAATACTAGCTCATTTGTGGCAAATGTATGGACAATGAAGCTCACACAATAGTTTCATCTTCAGCCCCCTCCATGGTAAGTGCCTTCACTCAATTATGCGCTTACTGTAAGAGCTGTATCGATCGTTGAAGGATGGCGGACATCAGAGGAAGCAGTTATGTTCATAAATGTCCAACCTGCACCCTGGCAACATACATCTAGCAACACAATTAACCAGCCTTTGACAGGTGACGTTCATCTTTCTCCCTTCAGAGTAATGGAAGTGTCAGTCTGAGATAATAGAGCTGGTGGAAACAAGACGGGTAATACTAAAGCTGAAATCAGTCATACTGCAAGCACAAAAAGAGCCAATTAGAGATCTATACTATTATCTTTCACCAGGCCATACTTATTGGCCACTCTGAGTGCTGTTTTATTCCATCCTGTAATATTTGTATGTGCACCCACATGCACAAATAACGGGGTACCAAAATTAGGTAACCCTCAGCATTCATACTTGGGAGTAAGTTTCACTAAATTCTCGAGACTTTTGGTGAGTAGTCATCCCTATGATTATTCTGAAAATCCAGGTTTTATGCTAGGGGATTTCAAGTGACGTTTCTGTCAACAACAAAACAGCTATACTCCAGCATCAAAGATGTTATGCCAAAACAAAAGTCAGGATGCATACAACAAATATAGGCAACCAATGGAAACGTGCAAAAATGCTGCCAGCTCAGAAACACAAATTATATGCCTTTTGGATACATTAGCAGGAAACTGTCGAAGTGGCTTTCTGCTGTATAATCATACCTCCATCCATTTTCTTTTGCTGAGGATCACAGGGCAAGACAAGCAAAGGAATACAACATATAAAATATCTGCAAACAAAATCTATACATTTAGTAATGTCTTATATTGGATATGACTAGCTATAGTTGAAGTATTACAGATAGCCCCCTTCACAATCTGTGAACCACAGTACAGGTAATTGGTGGTCAGTGGAATCCTACTAAATAGCTGTGGCCAATTTCTTTGAATTGAGGATCCCATTCAATCTTGCCTAGCTGCTCGTGAAATACTCAGGGAAAGGACTGCTGAGCAATGGGTGAACCCATAGACACAAACCCCCAAACAAAATCCCAAACCTGGCAGATTAAAAATTCATATTTAACACCAGTTATATTGGGACTGCAGCTTCCAGTGTCCTGCAGCCTCTGGGTAGAAGTTTCTGGAAGTTGTACTTTCACCACCACTGGAGAGTGCCAAGTTAGGGACAGCTGATTTAATAAATACTTTAGTAAATAAATATTTTGTCTAGAAGAAGTCCAGCATACTGCTCAAGTGTCTCAACTATAGGACACTGCATCCTCTCATGTGCTTTTTGCTCAATTTTCTCCTTTAAAACTGAAGATAAGTTGTTTTAAACTATACACAATTCTTCTAAAAAGTAAACAGATTAACTTCCAAAATGTGTGTGAATTTAACTTCATATTAAGGGCATTCATACTTCTTGAATACATGCTGTCCTGGAACTGTTGCTATGGTTACTGGCTTCTTTTTTTATAACCTGATCACTTTCAGGTAACTGATCTTATGCAGACTGTTTCCAAATAGTTCTGCAAGGAAGTCTACTCCTGAATTTCCATGAAAATAGCAGGAGGCTTACTTGTATGCTGCATTACTCACATGGTAAGCTATCCCTTAATAGGGCTTCTTCTGTGATCATGGCAGAAGATTTACACAGGGCGTACTAAAACTAAATGCTACTATTTGCCTTCAAACCTTTGCAGTAATTCACGCTGTTTCTATTTTTATGGTGGCAACTGAGAAGAGGCACTGGGCCACTGTAAAGTCTCGGGGAAATGTCACATTTAGCCACCCAATGAGACAGTGGTATTTGGATTACCTAATCTTTTAGGATTGCTGTCTCTCTTTTCCTTTTATTTGTCTTTAAGGATTTAGACCAGTGTTTTTCAAACTTGCAACTTTAAGATGGGTGGACCTCAACTCCCAGAATTATGGGAGTTGAAGTCCACACATTTTAAAGTTGCCAAGTCTGAAAAACACTGGGTTAGAGACATCTTATAGACAGGACATGTTGTTGTTCAACTTGTTTCCAACTCTATCACGAGAAGAGTTTGCCTTAATTGCCAGAAACGTCTTCCTTGAGTTTTTGGAAAATTATGCTCTTGATATCAGTATTATTATCCAGCCATGTTGTCTTCTGCCATCCTCTTTGTCTACTGCTTTCAATTTTTCAAAGCACCAGGTTCTTCTCTAAGTCTCTTGCTTCCAAATTATGTGTCCAAAATATTTAAGCTTTATCTTAAATTAATACTTCTGGGCTGTCTGGTTTTACTTCATCTAGTACTGAATGATTTTTTTTTCTTTCTGGTCAATAATTTTCTCATCACCACAGTTCAAAGGTGCTTTTATTTTCCCCCCATATGGCCAGATTTTCCCGCCATATGTTCTGCATGGGAAAACTGTGGCCTTGGCAGGGTGTACCTTTTGTGGGCAGTGTGATGTGTCTGCCCTTTTAATAGTTTGTCTGGATTTGTCATAGACTTTCTCCCAAGAAGCAGACAACTCATTATTTCATGGTTACAGTCACTATCCTTGTGGATTTTTGAGCCTAGAAAGATAAAGTTTCTACAGCTTCTTTATCTATTTGCATTGGACTGATGCTAGAAGTTCACAATCTTAGGATTTTTTTTAAATATATAGTGAGCATCAGACAGTTTTTGTATTTTAATTTTTCACCTTCTTTAAGTCCTTCTCACTTTCAGCCACCAAAGTAGAATGAGTTAGAACGTAATTCCATACAAACTGTATTACAGAGCTTAGGATTGTCTACACTCCTAGAAAAGTTCACAAATCCTACAATATTTCTATCAAGTTATGATATTCCTTTCAGAACTAGAAACAAATGCCTAGTTTTTCTGATAGCCTGCCTACAGCATTTTAACTCTCCACCATAGCTTTCACATCAGAATTACTACTTTCTTTTCTCTTCTCTACACAAAAGTAGCTGCTGCAGGAGACAGAAAAGGAAAACATTTTACTTATTTATTTAAATGTACATGGCTGCCAGGCCAACACGCAACTCTGGGAGGTTAACAAAAGGCTAAAAACAGCAATTAACCAAAAAATTAATGTATACATTCAAGTATTTAAAACAGGCTCACATGACCTCCTGACTCAGTGTTCATAATTCACACTGAGTGGTCTTCGAGGCAGCCCCATGTAGAGTTTGTTGCAATAATCCAGGTGAGAGGTGGCCAAGGCTTGTTTTGGCCCATTAAGGTAGGGCAGGTCAGGAAATGGATACCACATGAACTACTAGAATTTTACTTTATTGTCATAGGGTATAATAACAAAATATTGAAAGCCTGACAATGTATCTACACAGAAATGGAGACAAGATGAATTTGTACAAAGACCCCTCAAGCAGGAACCATGAGTTTAATACGTCCACCAAATGAACTCAACCAGAAAAATGGAAGATATTCTGATTTAAATCCAAATCTACTGCCACTTGGCATAGCTACAATTGAGCCTAACCCTGTTCTCCTCTTCCAGGCCTCCAGGCATTGGGATAGAAAATTGATGGTATCACTTGCGTAGCTTAGAGTTGAAATACGTAACTAGATAATATCAGCATACTGATGATACCTAAACGCATATTGATGGATATCACCCAACAATTTCATGTTGATATTAGAAGCAGGGAGGGAATCAAGCCCTGAGGCACTCCACAAAGCAAGAGCCTTGTACTAAATCTCCCCAATACCACCCAGAACTTGTGGATTAGGATTAGGAAGAGAACCATGGCAACACCACACACCCTACTCCCTACCAGTCAGTCCAGAAGATTACCATGACCAATGGTATCAAAGGCTACCAAGAGATCAAGGAGAATTAAGACAGATGCATAACTCTTATCCCAGTCCCATCACAGATTATCTACAAGCAGCATTATGCCTAGGGCTAAAGTCTGACTGGAAGGGGTCCAGATAATCTACTTCCTCCAGGGGCTTTTGAAGCTGCAGCCTGACCTACATCTCAACATTCTCCCCTCCCCCCAAAATAGATTGGAGGCAGGCCAGAAAATGTCCAACACTATTGGGTCTAGAGATGACCACCGCTTCATTAATTGCAAGCAAACCACTCCCTCACTTAAGGATGAATTCTGCTTTGACCCAACTACATATCATCCCCCAGATGGCCTTAAGCAGCCAGGAAGGACTTGAATCTAGTATACAGATGGCCATGCTCACAGCCCCAAGAAACCTGTCCACTTCATAAACTCCTCCCAGATAACCAAGTCAAACCATACCTCAGAGAATTCAGCAGGACTTGCACAGATCTGAGCGATTTTATCCATTCGATGCCTTGAATAATCCTCACAGTGGCCCTTCAGATGTTCCTCTGACCCTTTCTTTCCTAAGAGGGTGCAGGTCACCTTAAGGAGGGCTGCCGGATGCCAATCTGTGGACACAATAAGAGCGGAAAAATAATTATGTTTTGCCGCTCTTATCGCCACAGTGAAGTCCTTAATAAAGGCTTTTACCCATGTTCAGTCAGACTCACTTTTTGTTTTTCCCCAGTGGCACTCTAGGCATCTCTTCTGCTATTTCATCTCCAGAATTCCACTGAAAAGCAGGTTGCCCTCTGAGATCCACGTGCAGAGAAAGGCCCACAGGCACAATCTGATCTAAGGCCACTGCTATTCTCTCATTCTGGGCATTAACTAAGGCCTTAGTTGAATTGTGTACCAGAGCCTCAGGAACTTCCCCAAGCTCCCTACGAAACCAAATAGCATCCACCAAGTGTCTGAGGCAGGCTAAATGAATAGGCCCTGCCTCCCTGAATTGAGGAACAACTATGGATAGCTCCAAAGCAATCAAAAAATGATCTGACCATGACAAAGGACAGATACTACTAACTCCCAAATCCAGATCATATTGCCACTATCTTCAGACAAAAAAAACAGATCTAACATGTGAACCCCACTGTGTGTTGGACCCTTGATAATCTGGATCAAGTACATGGTGGCCATGAACTCCTGATCTGCTTCAGACTTCACATCCAAAGAAAGCAAGTTAAAGTCTCTCAGTTCCTTAAGTTGCAGCTCAATCAAGAAGACACTATGCAACAGACAGTGTCAGCAATGATTCTATCTGTTTTGTAGAACCCAATTTCCCAAACAGAGTCTCACATATGCTCATCTGCAGAGCAGCACTTCTGAAAGCCACTAGAGTCTCCCAGATAACAATAGACCACTCCATCATTCCTGTGCTGGGATTGCAGTTGCTTCAAACTTGACACCCACACAGGCACATTTCCAAGAGGAGAACATGCCTCTCCCATTTCCATCTAGATGTAAGCCATACATTCCAGGTCAGCCCTCTTACCAGTGATAAGATCCTGGATGAGATAACCCTTATTACAGGCTGATCTGGCATCTAGTAGCAACAGCTGGAGACCTAGGTCACAGAGAATTGAATGCCAGGCATTGGGATTAAGATTAAGGCATTTGTGGAAGGTGAAATTGGTACAGAATACTGAGTACACCTTCCCCAAGCCTGGATTGCCCCATCTCCCACCATATCTTCCTCTGTTCATTGCCCCAAGATGTTATAGTCTGCCCCTTCCCACCTGCCCCCAGCATCAAACCATCTCCTCCTGATCCCTGCTATCACCCTCCCCCCCCCGGCTCAAGGACTCTATTCAACTAGTCCAGAATAAGAAACCAATGCCATAGAGGTCAGGTCTACTTTTATTGCAACAACTTTAATAACAGACTCTTGCAAGTCTAAATATGCTTCCCCCCCTCACTTTATCTTCATGTGAACCAGTGAGGGGCCTGCCAGAGATGTTTACTCAAAGTAGTTTTTTGGAATGGGCTCAAGTCATTCTTGTCTGATTATTGGCTAAGTAGTAGCTCTTCCTCCTGTCCTTCAATGCCATTCCCTATGCCCTCTATAGCTAACTTGTCAGAATCTTCCAGATAACTTCTGTCTTAGCACTCAGCTTCCAGACAGATCAGTTGCTGTCCCCCACATATGTCATAACTCCCATGCACCCACCCACACTTTTGTACATACATCCTCAATACCAATCCACAGACTGGGGTAGAAGGACACTATTGCCCACTCTTGCATCTCACCCAGATGGAAGACAAACACTGTCCACCTCAGACATCTTAGTCTGGAGAAAACATCTACTCCCAATCCACAGTTGAAAAATCCTCTCCCTCCTAGTCTCAGGTTCTTCTGTTGCTGCATATATAAGCTGCATAAAATGCATGGCCAGCAGATAGTTCCAGCAGCTGATGTTCCTCTTCTTTGCTGACCCAGTGACATATGAAAGAGACAAAATGGCTGCTGCCCAAGCTGACAGACTCCACAGAAGCTGCAGAACTAAGGATTCAACTTGGCTGCTGGCCTGATCTCACTCCCACTGCCACTGTAACTCAGCAGCCAGTCTGCCACCATCATCATCACCAAGCAGCTGATTACAGCTGACATCACCACCAGGCGAGCATTCATTGCCATTTCCATAGCCATCCAACAGCTGATCTGATGCACTGCTGCCCCATCATCTCCACTGTCTCATCTAGCTCTTAAATCACCTCTGCTGTTTTGGCTGGGATCCACAGGCCTTTTCCATCTACTCTGAACATGGCTGTTCTTCTTAGGCCATCCTGAACACTGGATATTTTCTATTCCACTGCTACCACTACCAAGCCCTTTAAACATCTGCCAGCAGTGCAAGTGGCATTCTTTCGCTAACATATCTAGCCATCCAAACTCCAGGGCTCTGTTACTAACCCACACTTTGTCCCACCACAACATTTCTAAATTAGGGTGCGCAACAGAATAGGGGAGGATAGGTCTCCTGCTATTGGAGGATTCTTGGGAAATCTGAATTTTCCATAATCCACTGCATTCAGTCACATGGTTAGCCAGAAAAAAGAAATCATAAGGGTCACCTATTACTTAATAATGTCATGTATCCTGTGTCATCTCTCCTTGACTAAATAATCTCTCCCTTTGATTAGTAGAAGCAAATATATTATGTACAAGATACAAGTCTTTGCCAATAATTGTAACTGCATAATAATCCATAACTATTTGAGATTCAGTAATCCAGCTTTTCCAGAAACAAATCTGGGATAATGTAACATAGTGTTTTGTTTTCATCATAAAGAATACATTACGTAAGAATACCTATCATATAAAAGCTTGTACTGTTTTTCACTTTATAAAAGATGGCTTAATATATGTATGTTTTACAAGCCCCATTACCTTTCCCTGTCTGCCATTTATATCACTTTGGCATCCAAGTAAAAATAAGGTACTGTGATATGAGTATTTTGTGACTGTGCACTGGGATAAAAACTTTCATATTGTGTATCAAACAGATAGCTAAGTACAAGCCCTGATACAGAACTATAGCTTATTATATTTCTTCAAAGTAAAAACCCTTTTAGTCAAGCAGCTGTAGATCCTATTGTGTTCTAAAGATTTGCTTGATTCTCAGAGCTGATAATGGAATAAGAAATAAAGCTGTTTTTCAGCAAAGAAGTTTCCTGAGGAAATGAAAGGACTGACAGGATACAATCAGATTGATCTTGTAACATTCAGCAGACTCTCATGAACGTTAAATTAATGCCCGGCAGTTACAGGGTTACAAGAGACTTATTTTTCATCAAGGATCACTGAACAAGGTAATAACAGTTGAATAAAATACATTAAAAGGATAATTGCTTTGACTGCACATTCAAATGTGCTTTAAGGATTCTAGATTTTGTGTTATGAAAACATGTTTCTATGATCGTAAATGCTGTGAATATGTACTTATGAACATTGACAAGCATAAATTTTGCTTTTCCCTCTTGTAGTGTTCACAAACCATCATATGTTGGCTGCATTTCCCTCAGACAGTCTAGCTTTTTTTTATTTATTTTGTAAATATATGTTGAAGGTAACAGTGTTTACACTGAATACTGCATGACAGATATTAGGGATTTCCTATATCTCCAAAATAGTATCATAAATATGATAAAACTATGCCTTCCAAACTTTTAAAACATTCCTTGCAAATCAAACTATAATAATTTACTATAGTTATCTGGTAAGTGTGTGTGCGTGTGTGTGCGTGCATGTGCGTGTCTATGTAAAAGAGCAAGTTTGGTCTAGTGGTTAATGCTCCAGGCTAGAAACCAGGAGTCTGTGAGTTCTAGTCCTGCCTTAGGCACAAAAACCGGTTGGGTGACTTTGGGCCCTTCACTCCATCTCAACGCATGACGTCAGGCTCATGTGACAAGCTGGTTGGCCAATTCCTATTGCAACCAATGGATCAACATTTGGTTGATCCAAAAAAAAAAAAAAAAGCAGACTGTGCACCTGCGTGAAAAATGCTAGGATGATATCTATCTGAAAAACATGTATAGGAAAGAAACCCAGAAAATATTAACTATAGTTTGGAACTGAATGTTAATGCCAGCAACTCATGGCTGCTATATATGACCAATGACATCCACATATGGCCAGATACTACATTTGTGATATAAAATTGGGTGGGAGATTTTAGTATGCTAAATGAACAAATTCAAGCTTAACAAGTCATATTCACGAAGACACACTAGTACTCATCATTTATGTCAACTTGTTTCTACTCTTCATAGACAGGTCAATTTTCAACATTTATTAAAATTTTGGTTGAAGATATATTTTGACTGAAAAAAATCTAACCACAATTCTTTAATTCCTAGCAATTCCCCGTCTTTTATTCCTTTCCTAGCATTTCTTAGACCAGCACTGCTGACAGAACCCAACTCCAGTGCTATGGCTTTGTCTTCCCCACTTGGCTTACATGATTGACAACCATTCACCCCTTCCAGAAGATGGTGACTTCATATACAGTGCAAGGCTCTGCAAACAAACTTCAAAGATTTTCATGGCTCCTTGTGAAGGAGGAATTGCCTTAGTAGGCTATACACACACTATATGGAATCAGATCTGGAAGGTGTCATTTAGATACTGAACAAAACCTCCTGTCCAGTGTAGGAAACCAAATTAAATTCTATACAAATAATAGACTTTAAAAAACTAAAAGTGGGTTTTAGTGGCTCACTTGTAAAATCCGATCTCCTTCCCGGATCCGTCCATCTCGAGCAGCAATACTATGTGGGTCAACCTATATAGGGAAAATTCATATTTTAATTCTAGCATTAATGTTAAAAACAAATTTTAGTTGAATTCACTTATTGTTGGAGAAGTCTCACTGTCCCTTTAGAGAATGTATTCATTAATCAAATTTTGAATTATACAGATTATAATTATACAAATTATATTTATTCCTTGTTAGATGAATATCTGTCCTCATAAAATTACAGTATTCATCAAGATCACTATATATAATTTTTCAGATTAATCCCATTATGGGAATGGGTGACAATCAATTTAACCATTGTAGAATCAAGTATAAATAATTGAATACTTGGGTATAGGTAGGCATCTCAAATCCACCAGCCAATTCACAGAGTTCTTGTATACCAAACCCTCAAGCAAGTGGAATCAGGCATAATGCAATTCCCATTCCAGAGATCTAATTTCTTCTGCAGTTTTCAAGCAGGTAAGAAACAGCTGCAGTCTTTTCTAAGTAGCAAGAAAAACTCGCTGTTTATTATGTTCTCCTTGTCTCAAATAAGAAATGAATAAGCTACTCTTCAAAGCATTCTGTGCCCACTAGATGATTCAAGGGAAAGCAGGGATTTGGGACAACTTCAAAAAATATATGAGTATGAGAAAGTAAGAAGGGTTGGAAGTTTTACAACGAACAGGTAAGACTGCTGTCTAATAGATGTACTGTATGTATTTTAAACAAGTACTTCCCTTTAATTTTCTTTATGGAAAATTAAAAACTAAAATGAAAAATGAGAGATTGGGCAAAATTAACTTAAATCAGTTCCCTTTACTTTATCCTAAATAAGTATTATGAGGTATATTAACGATTTATCAGAGTCACAAATACTACTCCTTGAATAATGACCAATGTTCATGGGGCAGAGCTATCTATCACCTTTTCTCCAATGGTTATCTTCAGCCATTTATTTTATGTTGTCATTCCAAGAGCTATTTTTCAAACCAAACATTTTTAAACACCAAATTTGGCTTGCAAGTTACATATTGCACAAATGTTAGGATTTTTTTTTCACACTGTGTTTTGTTGGAAATGTTGAAATGGTTAATGAGGTATGTAGAGAGTAATTATATTCCCTTAAATAAAACAAAAGCATAAACAGTTAAAACTAAACTCTAAATAAGAGAAAAGAGTTGCTTTTAAAAATACAAGCATTGATAAAATAAGTGGGTTTCTTGTTTAATCTTGATAAGGTAAGAAGAGAATAATATTATACCAAACTGATCTCAACCTGTGTTTGAATGTTTATGTCTATTCCAAATATTTAGAAGTTTAGTAAGGTAGGGGAAAAAAATCTAATGTTCCATAGTCTTTTGGGATTTAATAACAATTTTAGACAATAATTTTTCTAATGGTAACTTTGTATCTGAAGCATTTACATTAAACACAATTGCCTGTAACAACAATTGCACAGCTTGGACAACGTAATTTAACCAGCTTGCTAACTTTTCAGGACAAATGTTAGCCAGATTTTCTGCAAACATGCTTCAAAATGCTTCTCTATATTTTTTTCACTGAATTTCTGCCACCCCCACGTCCTTACCTCACTGATATAGATTCCTGTGTCTTCTTCATCATCTGTGCGGTAACAGACTGTTAATCCCAGTTTTTCCTGGCTACTAATGCGACAAAGTTCAACTTCCTGCAAAAATATATAAATGCCTATTTTGAGAATAAATTCTGCTCAAGACATCAGTAATTTTCTTTGTTACTCACAATAACATTTGTAAATTCTGTCTTTACCATGTTAAATTGCCTGACCATTTCACTTCAATTATTTGATTCAAAGTCAAATACTTATTAGTTATATAGAAACCTATTTCATTCAACATTACCTTATTAAAGTTTTCTTGGCAAAACCCTTCTTTTTTTAAAAAAATCCCCACACATACTACAGTTGGAAGCCATTAGGCAAAGTTGGCATGTTTTCTGCAGTACTGAAATCAAGAACGAAGGGTTGACAATATATCACACAGTTCATTTTACTTCTATCAAGCCAACTATTGATTTACCGGACAGGGGAAAGGCAAAGTTTACATCAATCAATCAGTCACATATGAGTGTTAGTCTTCCATCAGCCATTTAAACTATAAACCAAAATCAGTGTTACCTGCCAGATCACATAAAGGGTGCACTATATTTTTAGCTGCAATATAAATAATAATCAAAAGCATCAGGAACTCCTACAAGCTACGTTTGTGACATTTTGTTTCTGAAGTTCTAAGGTGTTACAAAAATTAGCTATGAAAAGATGCAAAAACAATTTATGTGCTTAGGGCTAGATTGAATGTTCATGAACTGATAAGGTCATTGGGCTACTATACTTCAAAGTAACTAACATAATCTGAAAACTAAATGCCATTAGTTTTCACAGTGCAGGATATGGACCATGATCAAAGTCATATAACCTCCAAATGTTAACTCAATTGGTTTTTGACAGTAACTATTTCTAAGTCTAAGCTAAATCATAATGATTATGTGAGAAACAAAGTGTCAAACATCATTCTAATCTCTTCTTGGTTTTCAGAATGCAACTTGAACAAACAGGCTTTTGGTAACTTTGACCCTTTCCCCAAAAAAGTTCTTATCATGGTACTTTTTCATGAAAATAAAACAAATGTAACTTCCTGAAAGAGACGTAATTTAATGTAGTGGTTAAGGTACCAGGCTAGAAACTGGGAGACCATGAGTTCTAGTCCCACCTTAGGTACAGAGCCAGCTGGATGACCTTGGGCCAGTCACCCTCTCTTTTGGCACTGAATTTCAAATAGTTTTGCCACCTATTTGAACAAGAAAAATTAATATTGAACTGCAGCACTTCATTCCTATTTCTTACGTTTGTGGAAAGAATGTTCTGCATCTTGATGGAACAGTACAGGAAAAGGGGGAATAAGTCTCTTTGCCATTACGATTCTTTATCTCCCCCTCTTCAGCCATGCCATCCTTCGCTAACATCATTTAGCTAGGAAAAGTTCTTGCTCTGAATATGAAACAGCAGACTGTTTTGCTTTGAATTAAGTTATATTAACATACACCATGTTTAGTCAATTACTAGCAAGCATTCACCTATCCCAAGCCATTATATATGAAGTAAGTAGAAATACATTTAATAACCTGACAATACATAACACATGTGTGTTCTTAGATTTTATAATTTGAGAGGCAGTGTCTGCTTGCCTCTTACCAAAGTCATTTAGCTACTTGTTAGCATTTCCCACAGGAGTGAATGTCCTACTACATGTGGACAACAATGTTCTGGAAGTGAGAAGGTGCAGGTTGAGAAATGTTAAATAGGGACAGTTGAGATCCAGCAGTGGAGGAGAACTATTGGTTGGAAAAGGAGCTGTTATTCATAGTGGCATCAAAATAAAAAGAAAATAATGATGAAGCATAATCTAGTCAGCTGGACACTTCAGATGAACATTGGGAACAGACCATTAATTATTGGTGTCAAATATACTGGGTGAACTTAGAAAATTAATGACAGTAGGAGTGCCAGCAAGATATGACCTGTGGAACATGATACTCAGAATATAGAAGCAGTGAACAAATTTGGTATTTTTAATTTATAAAAAAGAAAATCTGAGGAGCTACAGGAAGAGATAAGAGACACAGTGAAAATCAAAGCAGAACCCAAAACTTCAAAGATTTAAATAGCTTTCAGAACAACCAGTCAAGATAGCTAGGGAAAGATGAAGGATGAAAGCCTTGGGCAACAAGGATATATGATGATTGAAGGCAGACTTCCAAAGTCAAGCAAAAAAAAAAAAAGCAAAATATATCTCAGGATGTTAACAAATAGAGAAATATAAGAAGAAAAGGGAAATGAGATATCTTTTTAAGATCAGAGAAATCAAAAAAAAAAAATACAACCAGAATAGAACTGATAGAAGTAAAGGATGACAGAAATAATATACTGAAGTCTTTTTACTAATTGGATGATAGAGTGACAGAAACATTTGTAGAGAGACAATATGCTCAGGAACTGACTCTACTAAAAATGAGTAGCAATAGACCAGCTGTCAGGCATAGATGAAATAACCAGTGAACTTTTTAAAGCTGTAGGAAAAGTGGCAGTTAAAATGTTAACAGTTCTATGTTGGCAAGTATGGAACAATACAGTAATGACCTAGAGATGGAAAAGATTGGAATATAAATTTATACCAATGAAGAAGGTGCAAGAGAATACTCAGAATTATTGAACTATTTCCCTACTTCCTCACATGTACATGAACAAAGTTTTGCTTAAGATCTTACCAGGAAGAAGAAAGTCATACATGGATAAAAAAAAATGCAGAATAAACAAGGAGATTTCAAAAAGAAATTTTGAGAGAGGAAGAGATTTTGAGAGAGAGAGGTGATATCAGATTGCTGAAACAATAAGGATAAGAGAAAGACCAGGAGAATACAAGTTGGAGGTTTACCTTTGCTTCAGTGATTACAGCAAGGCCTTTAGCTGTGTAGATTACGTCAGAGTACAGAGTATGCTACAGCTTTCTTTTTTAAGTGTAACTGAATAAGTGCTACTTCTGTGGTGGGTTGCAAAGTTTGATTAGGACACTGGTGAGAGTAAATGAACTAAGAAACAGCAGTTTTAGAAGAGGGGCTCTGCAGATTTTGACTGGTGTCCTCTGAAGCCAGTGAAATGTTTAGGTGGCTTGGATGCACTGGGATGGTAGATGGTGGAGTGATGCTCGGCCTGGAGAGAGACTTGGAAGAGAAAAGAGAGGATGGAAATTGACCCTGATGGTTCACTGAAATGACATGTGATCTAGGGGCTTTGAAGGCTGGTTCCTAGCTAAGTAAATAAGTCTGTGTGATAAAAGGTCTGCAGTGCAGGTGATGGCTAACAGTGTTGCTGGTCAGCTAAATTGAGACTGAGTTCTCTTCTTTTCCATTTTGTACAAAGACCACCAAATGTACAAATGTACATGAAGTAAATGTGTACCTGGCTTCAATTATGCTTACCATAATTACATTCAGAACAGACTGATACTGTACAAAATATTCTCTGTGTGATTATTTTTGAAATACCTTAGAAACCTGAGTACTTCTTAGGGCTGCATAATCAGTTTATAATGCATTAATCCTGTAACAGCTCTATTTGTTGCTGTTTTTTTATTATTATTTTAAACCCTAAATATGTTTTGATCCATGTTATTTATATCTGTAATGAATATACATATGCTTTAATGACATTGTCAGAGGTTCTACTCATTGGTCTTCCACCAAGGTCTGTAAGACAGAAAGGCATGAGAAACTGGGCCTCTCTCAGTGGAAGACATCTTATGGAATTGCTTCTTGAGAGACATAATGATGGTCTATTCATAGCCTGATAAAGATTCAGAAGATGGTTGGAAAAACATTAATAGATAACTGCATATTCCTTAGCCACCTGGAAAATAGACACCCAACCTGCCAGTTAAGAGAAGGGGATTAAAAAGAAATGGAAGAAGTCTCTTCCAGAAGGATGGATTGGGTTCTTTTATTGATAGATAGAATTTTTATTAAATATTTTTTTAAAAGGAAGATAAAAACTAATACAAACTAATATAAAGTAAGGAAAAGAAAAGAAAAAGAAAGAAATCAAAGAGACAGTTAAAAGTACAAGAAAGGAAAAAAAGTAAAAGAAAAATAGAAAAGAAAGAAAGATATAAAGAAGTAGCTTCCGATCTTCTTTACAGCAGTTATAATATTTATAAGTCTATAAGTCAGCAATAATCATAATTGTCTTTTCTAGGATCAAAGATGTCAATTTAGCCATCTCAGCAAGTTCCATCATCTTCACCAATCAGTCCTCCATTGTAGGTAGTGCTGAATCTTTCCATCTTTGGGCATACAATAATCTTGCTGCAGTTATCATGTACAAAAACAAAGTTTCATAACCTTTTTCTCACTGTCTGTTCATCAATCCCAAAAGAAAAAAAACTGTTCTCAATTGTATATTAATCTTTAAAATCTTTTGAATCAATGTATGTATTTGAATCCAAATTTTCTAGCTTTTTTACATGTCCAAACATGATAAAATGTCCCTTCTTGTTGTTCACATTTCGCACATAAATTTGAAGTGCCTTTATACATTCTAGACAATTTCTCTGGTGACAAAAACCAACAGTACATAATTTTATAAAAATTCTCTTTAAGATTATAACATAGTATACATTTCAATCCTTTCAACCACATATTTTCCATTACATATTTTGTATATTATGACCAATTTTTTTAGCCCACTTTATCATACATTCTTTCACTTGTTCATCTTCTGTTTCAAATTTCAATAAAAGTTTATAGATTTCAGCAATTACCTGTTCATCATTTGTACACAATTCTATTTGAAATTCAGTCTTACAATGTTCAAAATCATACTTTTGTCTAGTTAGCCATTTGTGTTTGCCTATTATTTCTCATCTATAAAATGCTTTTATATGTGCTGAGATCCATAAAAGTGTTTTCGGGCACAACCTGAGTTTCTATATATCCCATATTCTCAATATGGCACGTCTAACATAATGATTTTTAAAATCCACATTAACCTTGACTTTATTGTACTACAAATATCCATGCCACTCAAATCTCAGGTCATGTCCTTCTAACTTCAAAAGCTTTCATTTCTCAGCAGCACCCACTCTTTCATCCAAACCA